TAATTATTTGAGTTGATGTAATTAATTAAATACGAATAAATTAAATAAATTGAATAGATACAAATAATTTAATTTACTTAATTAGTTAATATGGCCCTCGTGATTAATTAAATAAATGAAAATAGTTCTTTTTATTTTATTTATTCAATTTAATTAATTTATTTTATGTATTTAACTTTATCTTTCCGGTGTCCTTGCCGGAGATGCCGGCGAGCCTCGGCCGCGGCCGAATTATTGTAATGTATTAAAGTAATCGTTGTAGAATAAATTAAATAATTAAATAAATTAAATGAATTCAGCGGCCCTGCGGAACGATTGGATCTCCGCCAGGGAGGCCCTAAAAATAAATTGAATAAAATAAATACATTGAATAAATTAACTAAATTAAAATAAATTAAATAAATAGAATTAGTTTAATTCATTTAATTATTTTAATCTGGCCCTCATGATTAATTAAATAAATGAAATGAACTCTATATATTTAATTTATTTAATTTATTTGAATTAATGTTCCGGCCTGCTTGCCAGAGATGCCGGCGAGCCTCGGCCGCGGCCGATTTATTTTAATGTATTTAAGTAATGTTTGTCGAATAAATTGAATAATTAAATAAATTGAATAAATTCGGAGGCCCTGCGGATCGCTTGGGTCTCCGCCAGGGAGGTCCTAAAAATAAATGGAATAAACTAAACTAAATAAGTTGAATAAATAGAATGAATAGAATTAATTTAATTTATATAATTATTTTAATCTGGCCCTCATAATTAATTACATAAATTCAACTGGTTCTATTTATTTAATTTATTGAATTTATTTAATGTATGTAATTTATTTAATTTATTCAATTTATTGTTCCGGCCTGCTTGCCAGAGATGCCGGCAAGCCTCGGCCGCGGCCGAATTATTTTAATTTATTTAAGTAATGCTTGTAGAATAAATTAAATAATTAAATAAATTAAATAAATTCAGCGGCCCTGCGGATCGCTTGGATCTCCGCCAGGGAGGCCCTAAAAATAAATGGAATAAAGTAAATAAATTAATTAAATTAAATAAATTAAACAAATGGAATTAGTTTAGTTTATTTTAATTATGTTAATCTGGCCCTCCTGATTAATTGAATAAATTCAACTAGTTCTATTTATTCAATTTATTGAATTTATTTAATCTATTTAATTGATTTAAATTAATGTTCCGGCCTGCTTGCCAGAGATGCCGGCGAGCCTCGGCCGCGGCCGAATTATTTTAATTTATTTAAATAATGCTTGTAGAATAAACTAAATAATTAAATAAATTAAATAAATTCAGCGGCCCTGCGGATCGCTTGGATCTCGACGTGACTCGTACCGTTTACGTGCAGTCTCCCGATGCGAGTTTCTGGGTTGCACGTAAGAGGTACGAACTCCTTGGCTGCGCGTGCACGGCACGAGCTCCTGGGCTGCACGTAAACGGTACGAAACAGAGGGGCGCAGATTGGCATTCCTTTGTACTTTATGTGGTGGCGTTGCGTTCTATTGGGTTGTATTGTGCTGCGTTGCGTTGCGTTGTATTGCGTTGTGACGTTGCGTTGCATTGCGTTGCATTGTATAGTATTGTCTTTTCTTGCACTGTTTCGAAACAGGCCTGCCCATGGCTGAAAACAGGCCCAGGAGAACCACCGAACCCTCTGTCTTGTACCGCTTACGTGCAACCCAGAAGCTCGTACCGTTTACGTGCAGCCTCTGGGTGCGAACTTCTGGGTTGCACGTAAACGGTACGAGCTCCTGGGATATCGTAAACGGCACGGGACAGATGGGTGCAGATGCGCATTCCCGTGTATTCTATGTGGTGACATTGCGTTGTATCGGGATGGATTGTACAGCATTGCGTTGCATTGTATTGCGTCGTGCCGTTGCGTTGCAGAGCATTGTGTTGTATAGCATTGGATTGTCTTGCATTGTTTCGAAGCGGGCGTGGGAGGCCCATCGCTGAAAACACGCCCAGGAGGACCATCGAACCCTTTGTTTTGTACCGTTTACGTACGACCCAGAAATTCGTCCCGTTTACGTGATGTCTCTGGGTGCGAACTCCTGGGTTGCACGTAAACAGTACGAGACAGAGGGGTGTATATTCCCATTCCCTTGTAATCAATGTGGTGACATTGCGTTGTATTGGGTTGTATTTTGCAGCATTGCCTTGCATTGTATTGTAGAGCGTTGTATTGTCTTGCATTGTTGCGAAACGGGCTTGGGAGGCACATCGGTGAAAACAGGCCCAGGAGGTCCATGTCTGAACAGGTCGTCCTGAAGCTTCTCTTCGGCCGCTCCTCGTGAGTCTTGGCGCAACGAACAAGTCCCCGGACCCCTCCCGGGGCTCAAACGCACCAGCTTTTCGAGCCGCGTCCGGCCGTGGCGACGAGAGGGGCCCCCGAAAGCCAAAAACCTTAAATCTCAATTCTCGAGGTTCGAGGTTTGAACCTCGACGTGACTCGTACCGTTTACGTGCAGCCTCCGGGCGCGATCTTCTGGGTTGCACGTAAGAGGTGCGAACTCCTTGGCTGCGCGTACACGGTGCGGGCTCCTGGGCTGCACGTGAACGGTGCGACACAGAGGGGCGCAGATTCGCATTCCTTTGTACTCTATGTGGTGACGTTGCGTTCTATTGTGTTATATTGTGCTGCGTTGCGTTGCGTTGTATTGCGTTGTGCCGTTGCGTTGCACTGCATTTGTATAGTATTGTATTGTCTTGCATTGTTTCGAAACGGGCTTGGGAGGCCCATCGCTGAAAACACGCCCAGGAGGACCATCGAATCCCTTGTTTTGTACTGTTTACGTACGACCCAGAAGCTCGTACCGTTTACGTGATGTCTCTGGGTGCGAACTTCTGGGTTGCACGTAAACGGTACGAACGCCTGGGCTGCACGTAAACAGTACGACGTCCTGAGCTGCGCGTAAACGATACGAGACAGAGGGGTGTATATTATAATTCCCTTGTATTCTATGTGGTGACATTGCGTTGTATTGGGTTGTATTGCGCAGCATTGCCACGCATTGTATTGTATAGTGTTGTATTGTCTTGCATTGTCGCGAAACGGACTTGGGAGGTCCATCGCTGAAAACAGGCCCAGGAGGTCCATGTCCGAGTAGGTCGTCCTGAAGCTTCTCTTCGGCCGCTCTTCGTGAGTTTTGGTGCACCAAGGGCCAAATCCGCTTAAAACGGGTCCCCAGACCCCTCCCAGGGTCCAAACGCACCAGCTTTTCGAGCCGCGTCCGGCCATGGCGACGAGGAGGCCCCCGAAGGCCAAAAAACTTTAAACCTCGATCCTCGAGGTTCGAGGTTTGAACCTCGACGTGAATCTGGAGGAAGCCTTGCCGCAGGACTCCTGACCGTGTACCTGAGAGCTGCGCTTCGCCGCCCCTCGTCGCGCGAGTGCCAACGTGCTCTCCTCGCGCGCCGGTTCACCCGCGAGGATAAGGACGAGGGAGTGGAGGAGGAGGAGGAGGAGGAGGAGGGCGATGATGTATGTTGATGAAGATCAGGATGATGATATGAGGAGGAGGAGGAGAAGGAGGAGGAGGAGGAGGAGGATCATGAGGGAAAACGGCATGAACGAGGTGTCCGCGGGGAGATGAGGAACACGATGTTGATGACGACGAGGATGATGACTATGCTGAGACTGATGCTGCTGATGGTGCGGATGATAATACGAATGATGATGCTGATGATGACGATGCTGACGATGATGATGGTGATGCGGATGTTTATGCGGATGCTGGTGACGATGACGATGATGATGATGATGATGATGATGATGATGATGATGGTTATGCTGATGATGATGATGGTGATGATGACGCTGATGATGACGATGATGACGGTGATGATGACGACGACGATGGTGATGATGACGATGATGATGATGGTGGTGATGATGATGATCATGAACATGATTGTGGTTTTGGCCGACGATGGCCCCAATGATGAAATATGATGCCCAGCAGGGTCTCGAATCCCTCTTGAGTCTTTCTTGGGCCTTCCTTGGAGCCTTCTTCGGTCCCTCTTGGAGACCCCAAGGGAGGCTTTCTCGAGCCTTAAGAGAATTCCAAGAATGTTCCCACAGGGCTTTCGCAGGCCCCAAGAGGCCCCAAGAGAACTCCAAGGTCGCCCCAAGGGGGCTTCATGAGAGCCCTTGGAAATCCGAACTACTTGGGAAAACATTACCGCGCGTTTCCGAAATAGTTCGGGCCCCCTGGAGGCTTTTTGGGGAGCCCCCTTGAGGTCTTCTCATGCCTTAAGTGGATTCCACGAGGGCTCCCAGAGGGATTTCGCAGGCCCCAAGAAGTTCCAAGAGGCTTCAAGAGGGCTCCAGAATGACCCCAAGAGCGCCCCAAGGGGGCCCCAGGTGGTTCCAAGAGAGCTCGGGAAGCTCGAAGTTACTATGGGGAAGCACTGCCGCGCTTTCCCGGAATAGTTTGGGCCATCATGAGGCTCTCTTGGGGCTCTCTTGGGGCCTCTGTAGGACCCTCAGGGTCCGGACCCCCCCCCGGAAGCCGCAGCCCTTTCCAAAAACAAATGGCAATCGCCATTGCGATGCGTTGTTTGTCGCTCGCTTCATCGGCTCAAGATGTTAGCAAACGTGGCTCGGCATGGTCGGCCTGTTTTGACTTCTCTGCTCTCTCCCTGATCGTGGATCAGCATTGCTGTCCTGTGATCTCTCTGTCACACTTCGTCGCCATGGCCGCCGACGACCAGCGCGCTGCTGCCACTCAGCCCATGAGTCAATTTTCAGCTGATTTGGGCGACTCTATCATGCAGGGTGCTGCGCCGCCTTCTCCAATCGAGCGCGGCGGGTCTCCGGGCGAGCTCGGCGGCGACATGCGCGCCCGCGTCATCGCCATTTCGACGAACGCGCCCGCTGGCCCGCCGCATGTTCCAGCCGATACTGTTGGGGTGGTGCCTGCCGACGAGCTGTGTCTGCATCACTGTTGTAATGCTGCCGCGGATATGCATTCGTGGTTGCGCGGCAGACATGCGTCTGGTTACGCAGAAGGTAGGGGCAGAGTTTGCGCAGACGAAGCGCGCGCCAAGCAGCTCCGGGATCGCATCGCGCAGATGGCGCGGGACGCAGGAGACGAAGCCACTGCTGCCAGATTGCTGAAGACCGGGCGAGAAGCTCACGCGGGCTTTGATGAAATAAAATATGTCTGCGAGGTCCTGGGCGGCCAGATCGTCGTCGAGCACTACGAAGACACGAAACACTCTGTTCAGAGCGTTTATGGTTACGGCCCTTTGAGAGCGCTCTTTCGGCTTCGCACGCAGTCCTCGGAGGATGGGCACGAGGTCGATCATTGGTCGTGCCTGCAGAGTTGGATTCCGCGAGTTCCAGAAGTCGCCGCGCGCGCGAGCAAGCCCGAGGATGCGCCCGCCGATCCCGTCGGCAGCAGCAGCTCCCTACAGCGACGGTTAAAACTCCCAGGCGCAGCTACATGCAGTGCGGAATTCGACGAGTTCACGATGGAGGTAGACAGCGAGCGGAGCTGGCTGGAAAGTTTAACGGCAGACCCTGAGCCGCCTGCTCAGAGCATACTCGTGCAGACGGAGGCGGTGAAAGCATTCATAGAGAAGAAGCACGCCTCATGGGATCCGTACCTGAAGCGGATTGCCCTTGGGGCGCTAGCCATGTATCGATGTCGGCTATCCGATATCTACGTTCGAGAGTATGTCATGATGATGCACATCATACTTGGCGGTGACTACCTCGTCGCCCACGACGGGGTCATGTATTTTTGGAACGGGAATACAGAAGGTTCTTCGAGAAGTACGAGGGTCTCATGCCAGAGATTGTGCATGCTGCCCTGAAGGAGTACCTCTTGACTTTGGAAGGGCTTTTCCGGTCCTTCACTGGCGAGGTTCGGCGGGATGACGAGGCCGCGATGTCCGCGATCGAGGGGTCTTTGGAGAAGAGCGGGCCCGAGGCTCGGAAGGCGTTCGCCGCGTGGCGCGACAACGCCATCTTCAACAGAGGAGGCAAGGGCGGCGGCAAGGGCGGCGGCATGGGGGGCGCGGGGGAATCTGCCGCAGAATTCGATGCTCTCTCGCAGATAAAGGCGCAAGGGCTGGATGGCGATGCGCACGCGCCGGCAGACGACAGCTCCGCGCGCAGTGCGCCGTGGTGTATCACGATCGCAGTGAGCGTTGCTCGAGTTGGGCGAAGCTTACAGATCCAGATGATTCAGAACAAGTTGCTGTCGTTTTACTGCGAATGGTGCGAGACTCCGCGCCCCTCGCTCAGGGGCGTCGCCCGCCCCGACATCGCGTTCGTCTACGACCTGGGCGGAACCCCGGTGACGCAGATCACGAGGGAGAGTGAGCGCAAGAGCATATACATCGGCATACCGCACAAGATCAAGGCTTACATGGGTGACCCGGCGATGAAGGTGGCCACGGCGAGGAGTGGATCAGTTCTACAGGCAGACATTCTGGGCAAACGCCGCCGCGCACAAGGTGTGCATGGCCGCCCTCGCTCTGGCGAAGAGAGGGTTGAACGTCGACCAGCTGTTCTTCTTCTGGGGGGCCGGCGGCGTCGGGCTTTCGCTGACGACGGCCCATCTCGACGCCATGCTCGGCCACTCCAACCACAAGTATTTCGACCCGCAGGTGTTCTATCTTGACGAAGAGATGCGGAAGACGGTGGAGTCGCTCAAAGGCACGATCGTTCTCACGGCACAGGAGAAGCCAGAAGGCCTGAGGAGAGCTTCCGGGAGGATTTGTTCAAGAAGCTGGCGTCTGCCGACGGCATCTTTGGTCGACTGCCGTATCAGATTTTGACGATGGTTATATACCTGGTCGGATGGAAACGCATGGAGCTCAACAAGCTCATCACTTTCGACGGAGTCACTGAGGGCGCATTCCACGCCATCTACCGGAGGTCTCTTCTGATTAAGATTTATGCTAGGTTTGTCGACGCGGAGTACATCAGGCGCGCCCTGCCGGACGCAGAGAAGTACGGCATTTTCCCGCGAGCGCCGGATCTGAAGCCGTTCACGCAGTCGGGGCCCGCCATCGCGGCTGGTCTGCAACGACAGCTGGGCTTCGAACGAAAATACGGCGAAGCCGCATCGAGGTCGCTGATAGATGACTACTGCCTGCGCGGATGAGATAATGGGATCACGGAGAAATACATGCGACAGGCGCGTCTTCTCTCGGAGCCGAGCTGTTGATGCCGAGCTTGGGGGGGGGGGGGGGCGAACCCCTGGGGACGCGCGCACCGAGGTGCGCGCGGGGAATCATGCCCGAGGAGGTTGAACCGACATGGGTTGCAAACCGAAAAAACAACATCATCCGCGCTTCTGATCCAATATGTTTACGCCGACATGGACCGAAAACGTCGAATGATGTGGACGGGGGGGGGGCGCGAAACGGCAAGGAGGCGGGAGCACGAGGGGGGCTGCATCGCCGACAACAACAACAGCAACGGCGGCGGCTGCAACGGCAGCTCGACGGCCGAAGTCGCCAGACCACCCCACCGCTATATGCACATTCTCTCGGTCTGCCCAAAATGGGCGTTCGAGCGGGGTCAGTGCCTGGAGGGCCCAGTGCGGAAGACCGCAACATGCCGCAACGTGCAACGCGGCAAAATTCAACGTAGTCTTACATGCACTGCGCACTCGATCACCCGCTGGCAGGCCTGAGCGGTTTCTGGGCGGGGGGCGGGGGGGGAAGCTCGGACCCCCGAAACGGTTTCGAATGGCGAAGACAAGCGGGCAATGGGACACCTACGCGTCGAACGCCCGCTTCCCCCGACTGAACGCGTTTTCCTCCAACGCCGCGATGGGTAGCAGCCGCGGGGTTGCCAGACGATTGGCCACACATGTCGACTTAACGCGGCAACTGGCCACTGCAGCAGTCGAGCACGACGGCAAGAAGGCACAACGAGCCACGCAAAATGTAACCACAAAACAAGAATACGCCAAATTCAACGGCGCCTGTCCGATAGCTTGCGAATGGCGCGGCGCGCATTCGCAAATTGAGCACGCGAACAGTTTTGCATCGGGGGGCACCGTACCGAGGTGCGTGTCCGCCTGAGCTTGCACTCAGGTACGCTTCTTCCAGAAGAGCTGCCCACTCAAGAATGTCACGGAGTCTGCGCCCACAGTTCCCCTTGACAACTTGAGCCAAAATGGCAACGGAGGAAGGGAAGGAGGAAGATAATGAGGAAGACCGCGCCGCCTCATCCTTCATCCTCTCGGTCCTCATGTTATTCCTCCCTCCGCCGTTTCCTCTCCGTCCTCCTTCCTCATGTTTCTCTCCTACTTCCCATTCCCTCCTCTCCCTCGTCCTCCTCCCCGCCCCCGCACTCCCCCTCCACGTCCGTCTCCTCGTCCGTCTCCTCGCTGCCCCATTATCACCCTCCTCCCCCCATCGCCATGCACCGTGGCGCCGCTGGATGTTTTCCAATGGGGGCACACCTCTCGGGATCCGAATTGCTTCAGCCCTGATGCGATGCGATTCGGCCGAGTTGCGCAAACGCGCGGTCGCATCGTCATTAATTGTGGAACACTCTGGACATGTCGTTGCCCGCCCACCCCTCGACCTTTTTTCCCTTCTCCAGTTCCTCCTTCGGAGGCTGGGGATGGGGGAAGGGGGCGAGGAGGAGGTGGTAGGTGGGAGGTGGGGGAGAATGACGAGGGCGATGAAAAGGTGCGGGGGAATCACAGGCGACGTCATGGGAGGCACACTCGAAACATGAGGAGATGCATTTGTCAAGACGGCAAGTTGTTTCTGTTTGCCATCATTTGCTCAAGACGTTGGCTTCAACTGCTTTGTGATTCTGTCAATCTCCCTGGATTTGACAGCTGGTGCCGCCCCTCGCTGAGGGTCGATCTCCCCAGCACTAGGCCGCGAGACCCCGCCCCCGCCACCCGCTGCGGCCACCGAGGCCGGAAGCCAGAAATCACGGCCCGCCAGGCCCGAAACGCGATGGCCCCTCACTGATCACACCGAGGGCCCCCCCCTGATCACACCGAGGGCGCCCCTGATCACACCGCGTGTGCCGTGAGCGACGCGAGGGTGCTGTAGTCCGTGGTGCCCAAGTACGGATACGACGAGAGCATCTCCGACAGGGATCCAGCGACCGTCACGATATCGCCCTTGCCGAGCACCCCCCACCTGAGCCAGGACGCCGCGTCACCTCCAGGTACTGCGGTGAACACCATCATGCCTGCAGGGACGCACACGAGAGACCCAGGTTCAGCGAGGACACAGAAACCGCCAACTCCTGCAGCGAACGCCTTGAAGTTGTTAGCCGTCATGTTGGCCATGTGATCCTTCCGAACCGTCATGTTGTCACCCGTGAGCTTGTTCCACGGGGCGCCCGCCACCCACGCGCGACCCGTGACCATGGCCATTACTTCGGGCAAGCAGAACGTCGTGACCGCGACGTTATGGTAGCCAGGGTTCGCGGCAACGATCTGGTACTCCTTGCACGCGCGCTTAACCTCGTCGTGCTCCTTGGGGAAGGTAAGGTCGAGCGTGGTGAACTTGGAGTCGAACTTGCCGCCCATGGAGCTCTCGATGTCGGTGAGGAACTTCTTGGTCGTGATGGCGCACACGACTGACATAGACTCCTCCTTCCTCATCTTGGCGGCCGCCCACTTGGTGAGCGTCTTGTAGTTCGGGTTCACCTTCAGAGCCGCCGCAGCCTTCGACATATCCTGGGATGGCGGGGCGTAGTAAGCCTTCTTGGGGTACTCGGCGGGGACGTCGGTGACGTTCACGCTCCTGAAGGCCTCCACCTCTGCGTCCCCGAACGTGTCGAACAAAGGGCAAACCTCGTCCTCCTGGCCGTCATCTGCCGCATTGAGCCTGGAATTGGCCGCCCGTCTGTTTCCCGTCGCATCCTCCGAGGCCTTGCGCGCCTTCGCAACGTCCTTCAAGAACTTCTTCGCTTTCGTGACGGCCTCCTGGAACGGTTTCAAGTGGTCGTCCCTGGAGTGGTAGAGCTTGTAGTCTGCGCTGAGCTTCTCGATGAGCTCCTTGATGTTCGCTTCTGCCCCAGAGGGCAAAATCTTATCCACCGTGTGCTCCTCCTGCCATTTCGAGACCTTCGTGCTGACCTCCGTCAGGGCGTCGGTCATACTGTCCTTCAGCTTCTTCCACGCGGCCTCCTCGGTGGCGCGATCCCCCGGCATAATGCGGTCGAACGCGGGGGCCTCGAGGTCCATCTCGCCCCGCAGGCGGATCAACAGGCTGTCCATCTTGCCACTCTTCTCGGCGAGCCACGCGTGGAGCATGGTCTTGCTTTTCTTCGGATCGGCGGAAGGGGACGCCACCGACGCAGCCTCGGCAGTCCTCTTTTTCCTCTCGGCCGCCCTCTCCATCTCCACGGCGAGCACTTCGGCCTCCTCCTCGGCGTCGGCCACCGACCGCAACACCATGTCCCTCTCCAAGTGCGCGTGGAAGCCAGCGGACTTGAATGACCCCTCCACCGCTGCAGTCTCATCGCGGAGATGCCCGCCGTCAACGGCCATGGCCTCCCTCGGCATCCGCGTCGCAGCGGGGGCGTCGACTGGCATCGAGGCGGCAGCCTGCCTCCGGAAACGCTGCAAAGCGTCATCCCCCGACGAGGCTGCGGTCGACATTTCGCCGACGTTCTCGACGAGGGTCCGCTTCTGGACGCGGTTCTCAACGAAGTTCCTGTCGACGTTGTCCAGGATGTACGTGCGGGGCTTCGCAATCAACGTCTCGCCCTCCCTGGTCACCCTCTTGTGAATGGCCTGCGCAACCCGCGTCTGCCACACTTCCAAGCATCGCTTTTCGGACCAGTCGGGGTTCTCATGGACGAGGGTGTCGTACCCGTAGTACTCCAACCGCCCCCGCCCCTCCAGGCCGCTGGCATGGACCTGCTCAGTGACTTGCATGATCTCCTCGTCAGAGAACGTGCTGTGCGGGGACTTCGCGGCCATCTTCACGTGCCAGGCCTCCTCTTCGACAGGATTTTTCTGCAGCTTCTTCCACCAAACCTTGAGCGCGTCAGTCGACTCGCGCTTGGCCACCTTCCTCTCCATGTTCCGCTTGTTGGTGGCACAGTCGTTACCGATGCGGTACAAGGGGTTGCGCCCCGTGGGCTTGCTATTCGAGAGGGTGACTGGCTTTTTACATTTGGTGCACACCATCTCCGATTCCACTTTACCCACCGACGGAGGCGCGCTGGGGGTGACTGGGCTAGGGGTCGCCATTGCAGCCGCAGATCGGCCTGCAGCTCCAAAGGTGGGCGGGGCAAGCTGGGCAGCCGCACCCAACCCTGAGCACAAAAGGCTGCTGTCCGCCGACGAGACGGATCACGGTCCAAGGGGGCCCATTCCAAAGGCTTTGGGAAGGGTCCAAGAAGGCCCCGACAAGGCCCAAGAGGGCCCCAACAGGGCCCCCTGGGGGAGCCCAAAAGGGGCCCAACACGCAAGTAAGGTGTCAAAAAACATGTCACATTAAGCTTGTCGTTCGGGGTCCGATTGGGGCCTTATTGGGGCCCTCTGGGGGCCCTCTTGGAGGCCTATTGGGGCCCTCTTGGATCCATCTTATGGGCCCCAAGACGGCCCCAATGCGGTCCCAAGAGGGCCCCAAAATGGCTCCCAGACGGCCCCAGGGAGCTCTAGACAAAGAGCCTGTTTGCCTAGAGCTCTTCGGGGCCCTCTTGGAGCCGTCTTATGGGCCAACCAGGGGCCCAATAGTGCTCCAAGAGGGCTCCAAGAGGAGGAGGAGGAGGAGGAGGAGGAGGAAGAGGGCTCGCGCGTGAAAACTCTGGCTCCCCACGGGGCTCCAAGAGGAGGGCTCCAAGAGGAGGAAGAGGGCTCCAAGAGGGCTCCAAGAGGAAGAGGAGGAGGAGGAAGAGGAGGAGGAAGAGGATGAGGAGGAAGAGGGCTCCAAGAGGGCTCCAGGAGGAAGAGGGGGAGGAAGAGGGCTCCAAGAGGAGGAGGAGGAGGAGGGCTCATTCCGAGGGCTCGCGCGTGAAAGCTCGGGCTTCCCTTGGGGGCCGAGGGGGCAAAGGAGGGGGGATGCAGGGGAGAGGGGCCCCCACGGGGCCGAGAGGGGTGCCCAGGCCGACTCCGAGACAAACACCTGGAAGCAGAGGGCACTAGAGCGTTGTGACTTATGCCGCCGA